TGAACAAAGATGGCCAATTTTTCTGAAAGTGTTTGGGTTATCGGGTTTCTTTCTCCCTGAACAAAGATGACTCATCTTCCGAAAGTGTTTGGGTTGTCGGGTTTTTATCCCTGAACAAAGATGGCCAATTTTTCTGAACGTATTTGGATTATCGAGTTCCTTTATCCCTGAAAAAAGATGGCCAATTTTTCTGAAAGTGTTTGGATTATCGAGTTTCTTTATCCCTGAACAAAGATGGCCAATTTTTCTGAAAGTGTTTGGGTTATCGGGTTTCTTTCTCCCTGAACAAAGATGACTCATCTTCCGAAAGTGTTTGGGTTATCGAGTTTCTTTATCCCTGAACAAAGATGGCCAATTTTTCTGAAAGTGTTTGGGTTATCGAGTTTCTATATCCCTGAACAAAGAAAGCCCACCTTCTGAAAGTATTTGGATTGTTGGGCTTCTTTATCCCTGAACAAAGATGGCCAATTTTTCTGAAAGTGTTTGGATTATCGAGTTTCTTTACCCCTGAACAAAGATTGCCCGTCTTTTTAAAGTGTTTAGGTTATCTATTTTTTATCAATGAAGAAAAAAGTGCTATCTTCTAAAAGCGATTCGTTTATCGGAATTCTTGAACTGCGTTACTTATGTATTTTTTCAATCTACGAATTTCTTTTATCATACACGGAGATATCAAAACACGAAAGGTTAGGGTCTATACTTTACCCACTGTTCTTCGTATCCCTGATCTTAATCTCGAAGGGTGTATCAATGTCGCTATGAGTCTGGTTACAGTGTTTTATCTCCACCCACAGTGGTCTATCTAAATAGGTTCTCATAACCTCTAGGTGTCGCCTCCACACACTGGAAGAATTTCCCATAATCCAAAGTTCTGTTCTCGTCGGATAAACTGAAGAACAAAAAAAGTGGACATTATAATGATGAATGAGTAAAAACAATGTATGACTGTATGCAATAAATCATTACATAGATCATATATCATACCAAAATATTTTAGCCTTATTAAGTTAGTTATAAATATTCTGAATATTCGTGGATTTTTGTTTTACCTGAGTTGACTGATGATACGGATGGTGAAGATTCAAATATATTCATCACTCTCATCGTTGTCTTGGACCCCTGTAGCACGTTTATCGAAGTCTTGTGAACGACAAGCGAAGGCAAAATGGAGAGAGTTGGGAAAAATATGACGGCAGCAATATGAAATGTCTCATCTATGTCAAGATATAATTACAAGTTACTTAATTTTCCAACTTCCAGGAGCGAAAGTACACAATCCCAAAGAAATCAAAACTTTCTAGTTAGCTCTTTGTTTAGCAGGATTGTAAGTACATAATCCCAAAAAATCAAAACTTTCTAGTTAGCTCTAGCATTGTAAGGACACATCTGTAATAACTGAAACTTTCTACTTAGCTCTTTCTGCAGCAGGATTTCAAGTACACAATCCCAAAAAATCAAAACATTCTAGTTAGCTCTAGCATTGTAAGGACACATCTGTAATAACTGAAACTTTCTAGTTAGCTCTTTCTTTAGCAGGATTGTAAGTACACAATCCCAAAAAATCAAAACTTTCTAGTTAGCTCTTTCTTTAGCAGGATTGTAAGTACACAATCCCAAAAAATCAAAACTTTCTAGTTAGCTCTAGCATTGTAAGGACACATCTGTAATAACTGAAACTTTCTAGTTAGCTCTTTCTTTAGCAGGATTGTAAGTACACAATCCCAAAAAAATCAAAACTTTCTAGTTAGCTCTTTC